TACCATTCTCACAGCTAAGAAGATTAACATTAATAATATTTGATATGTACTGTAGTCTATTCAGATTTCCCCACTTGTTCCCAAAATGTTTGTAGTTTTTCCTTTCTAGGATTCAATTATGATTTTCTTTAGTCTGATAGTATGTTGAACATTATTGCATCTTCTAGAGCACTTTGTACTTTATAATTAACATTTTTATGTTCTGTGACTTGATACCTTACCCCGGGATGGTGCCAACATAATTCTCTCTGCTAGCTCAGGTATTCACAAGTGCCCTCTGGTGGCTGGCACTAACATGTCATCTGACAGGCTGAGGAAAGTGATAGGCAGGCTATGGCACAGTAAAGAAGACTAGATTCTCATGAGGTGTTTCATGCATGTCCTGGTTGTCTGCTTCTGTTTACAGGTGTGAAGCTTACGCTGTCTGCTCTGGTAGATGGGAAGAGCATTAATGCTGGTGGCCACAAACTGGGGCTTGCCCTGGAGTTGGAGGCTTAATCCAGCTGAAAGCAACCTCTGGGAATGGATATCAGAAGATTTGGCCTTAATATATTTCCAGTGTGACCAGCAGGCTTTTCTCCCTCCAAGAAGGTGATCAAAACAGGATGAGCTAAACAAGAGCTGTGTTTTAAATATGTATGTAGACAGTTACTTGTTAGCTGGTTTCTAGTTGAATTGGTTATCTAGTTACCAATGCGGCAGTCCTGCAGTCACCTATACATTATTTAATGTATTTAACTGTTAAATGCGCTACCCACCAATAATGAAATAGACCTTTATGAAAACTGTACAATTGTGTGCATGTTGTTTTTATGTTCCTTTTAACATTGAATATTGCCATTGAATGAAATGGATCAGCGGATTTAAGATGAGGTTAAATTTTTCTTGTTAAATTCAACTATTAGAATAACTTTTGGTATTCGAAAATATGACAAATTATGAATAAAATAACTATACGTAATTAATGACTCCAAGTATTTGCAGAGTTAAAAATTTGCTAGCTAGGGTTAAATCTCCCTGGTTATCTAGCTAATAATTATTTTTTTCCAGTGAGCATTTTGCTCTTTACCAAAACCTGTGCCACAAACTTCTGTGTGTCCCTAGAGTAACTCCCTGAGCTTTTTAGATCACAATAAAGTAAGAGGATACATGCCTTTTACATCTTCAGCTTGTAAGTTTGTGCAGAATTACATTGGATCATTGTTAACCCCAGGAGGCGGTGGAGAGGAAGTGATGAAGGGAAGTGCTAGAAGTTTTATACACACACCATACCCCTATGAGCTATTGCTATGGATAATGAACTAGGCCCTAAGTTAGGTGGGATGAGACTAGGTGTAGGGAAATGAAATAAGGTGTAGACAGGATCTGGATCCAGAGGTACGGTGAGAGGAGGATATAAGCCCAGTGAGAGGTCATTACTCATTTTCCTGACTGGAAAGCTTGGGCCTGAGTTTGGGACCAGAGGCAACATCTTCAGTCTACGTCAGCCGTGGGCAAACTACGGCCCCCGGGCCGGATCCGGCCCGTTTGAAATGAATAAAACTAAAAAAAAAAAAAGACAGTACCCTTTTATGTAATGATGTTTACTTTGAATTTATATTAGTTCACACAAACACTCCATCCATGCTTTTGTTCCGGCCCTCCGGTCCAGTTTAAGAACCCATTGTGGCCCTCGAGTCAGAAAGTTTGCCCACCCCTGGTCTATGTGGCCCATGGCCTTCATCTGGACTTGTGCTGCATAATAGAAATTAGTAGGTAATTTTGGTTGGAAAAGTACGTAAGAAGTTTTTTGATGGGAGGATTAGTTTGAAGGATGGGTATAAAAGTTAGAGAAGGGGAGATTTGTTCAACAAATTCATTATACAGACCTGAAGTACAGATAAAGAACAGATAAAATAGAGTGCTTTGAGACTCATTACCCAAAAAGTGATTGTTGCTGAAAATTTCCTGGTTAAGAAGAATGCGATGAGGAGTTAGAAGCCTAAGTTAACCCCTAGAGTGCCGGGGAGCACGATCGCGCTCCTCCTGTCTTTCGCCAAAAGTGCCGGGAGCGCTATCAAAGCTTCGAAACGGCGTCCAGTTCTAAGTCTGCTTTTATTAGTGATGCTGATATTGCTAAATATGTCAGTGTAGTAAAGGTTTCCTTACGTTTTTGAATATGTATCTTCATTTACTTGCAATTGATAATTTTTTTCCTAAACTGCTGTAAAATCAGCAAAAATGCCTTGGCAATTTTAGCATAGTTCCTAGGATATTGGTTGGCACTCAAAGGGTTAAACCCCCCTCAGGTGTGCTGGGGCACAAAGACTCCTTCTGGTCTCACTGTTTGTCCTAAGGGACTGACTGGAATGGCCCACATGAATCAGACACCGATTCTCAACGGCACAAAGCTGGGATTTGAGCCAATTTATTTGAGTCAGGACCTATTGCTACATAAGGAAGAACTGTGGGAGCACCTCTTGTGCTTTTGGGACACATACATATGAAGCAGCCTGGCCAGCGTGGCTCTGGTGGAGCGTTGACCTGTGAACCAAGGAGGTTACAGTTTGATTCCTGGTCAGGGCATATGCCCGGGTTGCAGGCTTAATCCCTAGTAGGGGGGGTGTGTAGGAGGCAGCCAATTAATGATTCTTTTTCATCATTGATGTTCCTCTCCCTTCCTCTCTGAAATCAATAAAAAAATAAAGATTTTTAAAAAAGGTATGAAGTAGATCAGGAAAGTCTCAAACTGCTGGTGGTGGTCGGGTGGGTGGGGAGAAACCGGGTTACTGGGCCTGGCAACACCTGCAGCCCCTGCATGGCCTGTTGCCCCTTAGCTTACAGGTGGCCCTCCCTCATGCTGAGGCTGTTCACCTGGTCCAATACTCTGGACTGGGGTGCAAGCATATGTTGTGAAGTGTGGCACAAATGAGTTACCAGTTTGTCAATGGTCTATGTACAGAAAATTAGACCTATCCACCTATGTGCACCTATGAGTGGGAGAGAGGATGGACTTATAGCCAGGGGGCTGAGAGTTGTCTGAAACACAAGGAATATTACAGGACCTGTAGGATTATGAAAGCTGCCACCTGTGGGCTCCTGTGGCTTCTAGCCTCCTCCAGTGCTCCCACCATCCTGGCCTAACCAGGTTGTAGCAAAACCTAATTGTATTCTAGGCTGAGGCAGTGTTTACTAGTGAAAAGAACACTTACTAGCTGAACGTGCCTTCATCTGTGGCTTGGACATCCTACAGGATTTGGGAAGGTTTAAACAAAATCACCGGGCTCCCTTGCCACCTCCTGCTCATAGGTGCTGGTGCTGCAAAGCCTGTCTTCCTCTGGGCACTTGTTAAAAGTTGCCGTACATACAGCTGGTCTGCTTCACACCTCTGGCCAGTGACCCCACCCAGTCCCTAACCTCTAAGTCCTCTTGTCTAAGCCAAATGGCCTGGTTTGCAGAGGTGAGGCCGAGCTGACATGGCAAAACATGGGCAAGTGGCTGGCTGCACTGGTCTCACCTCGCCGGCAAGGCCTGTTGTCAGATCCCAGATACGGTTCCCCACTGGTCCCAGCTGCACTGGGATTGAACTTCAGCCACTATCCTTCCTAGGAAGGTGTCAGGGAGACCAAGGTGGCTGCACCCATCTAGCCCTGAGCCCGGAAGTAGAGGTGGACCTGAGGAGCGGGGTCCTCTATCTAATGGCATGTGGGCAGGTCAATTAAGACTTGTACCCCCAGGCTCTAGTCAGCTGGAGGCTCCTGTGCCTGGGCCACAGCCCTGGTGCCTGGGCCGTCAGGACTGCCCGGAGGTGAACTGACCTGAAGGCTCCCTCTAGCTCAAGAAGCCGGCTGTGCTGGGCCTTCCCTTCCTACCCCACTTCAGTGGAAGCTCAGAAGGTTGTGTCTAGGACCCACTTTATTGACGGATTTAAAACGGGGTCGATGGCTGGGATTCCCAGGTCCCCTCCATCGAGGCCGTGGCTAGGGGCAGCCTTAGATTTTGAAGGCTAAGGTGAGGCCGTCGCCCAGGGGCAGGAGGCTGATGTGCACCCGGGCGTCGCGCAGGATGCGCTCATTCAGGTTTCGGACGCACTGCGTTTCCAAGTCTTGCGGTTGGGGTTGCAACACTCGTCCCCGCCACAGGACCTGCGGAGGGGCGGGGCGTCACGGGGCGGGGCCTCCGGGGGAGGTACCCGAGCAGGAGGCGGAGCGTGAGCTGGAGGCTCAAGACTAGAGCCTGGAAAGGCCTGGGGACTCGGCTTGAATACCTCGAGGGCGGGGCTTACCTGAGCACTGGGCGGGGCTTTGGGGCGGGGCCCAGGGAGGGGCCCACGGGAAAGAGACTCCCAGCCCGAGTGTCCTCCCGAGTCTCATCCTTACACTGAGCACAGCGAGGATGCCTCCGGGGCGCAGCAGCTGCAGGCACCGCTCGTAGTAGAGGGTGCAGTTCTCCTTGTCGGCGTCCACCACGGCTACGTCGAAGGTGCCAGCTTCGCCCGCGTCCAGGAGCTCATCTTGCGGGGGAGGAGGGAGGAGGGCAAGGTGGCTGAGTCCGCAGTCCCAGTGGCCGGAGCCCTGCCCGGGCCAGTTCTGCTGCTGTGACCACTCGGGGACTCCGGCCTCGAGGACGCCAGCATCGCCACCCTGCATGTGGCCGCGTACCGAGGCTGGGCAGCGGGGCTGGCATTGCCCCAGGCCCGTCCGGAGGGCCCGGTCACTAGCTGGCACCCGATGGCCCTATTTGGGAAATGGGGCGAAGGCCCTTTCACACCGGTGCTCACCCAGGGTTTCCAGGGCGGGCTTCAACCGAAGGTCAATCTTGTGTTCCTCTTCAGCCTGCGGATGGAGTGGGGTCAGGGCCAGCCGGTCCTTTCTGCCGGTGCTGGCTCCCGGGGGCCTGAGAGGGACACTCACCTTCCGCCATAGGGGCCGCCCCAGCTCCGGGGGCCCCGGGTTCACCTCGCAGGTCACCACGCGCCCGGCCGGGGGCAGGGCTAGGGCCAGGGCTAGGGCCGAGTAGCCTGTGAACGTGCCTGGGGACGGGGACATGCATAGGCTCAGGCCACCGTGCGGAGATGGCCGGTGACTTGGACCCCCAGTGGTCGCGGCCGCGCGCCCTACCCAGGTCCAGCGCCTTCTTGGCCTTAATGAGCCGCGCCAGGTTGGCCAGAAGCTGGGCCTGCTCACAGGTCATCATGGACTCTCCCCGCGGCTGCTCCAGCGTCAGCTGTGTGTGTGGTGGGGAGAGGGTCGCACCAGCTCTGCTGTCCCCCCAGGTGGAGGCCCCCCCTCCGCTGGGGTAGCTGTGGGCACCGCCCAGGGGAGCGCCTTCCCAGGGAACGCCCACCGCGCACCGCGCACCGCGCACCGGCCGAGGAGCGCGGAAGCCGAGTGGGTCCCCGCCCAGCCCAAGGTCATGCAACCACGTGGGACCCGCGGGGCTGGGGTGGGCGCCCGTCCCCGCCCTCGGCCCCGCTGACCAGCCGCAGGCTCCGCAGCGCTGGGTGCTCCCGCAAGGAGCGGCTCAGCAGGTACTGCCACAGGGGGCTGTCCTCGGGGGGCAGCAGGCGCTTCTCTCGCCGGGATCGCCGTGAAGAGCACCGTCTCCCTGCCGGGCGGGGTGCTGGGTCAGGGCCTGGGACTCCAGAGCGCCCGGGGTGAGCCTTAGCCGCAGCCAGCCCCGGGGACTCGGCTTTGCTCCCGCCCCGCCCCGCACGCGGGACCTCTGCAGAGGGAGCCGCTAGCTCCTTCCTACTCACCCAGGAAAAGGCCGGTAGCGAAGGCAGCGCCCAGAGCAGCCGATCCCAGGGCCAGCGCGGCGGGCATAGAGAGCCGAGGCATGGGCTGGATCATGGCGCGGGGAGGGCGCGGGGGTGGCAAAGTCACTTGTGCTGGGGCTGCCGGGGCCGCGCTCGGACCCTCGGGCCTTCCTGTTCGGTCTCGTCCCCCGCACTGCTCGCCGATCGCGGCCTCGAGCACCATCTGGCGGCCGCACAGCCTTACTGCAAGCCCTGCCCGAGAGAGCCGGTCGCCATCTGGTGGCTGCGCTCGGAACTTCGCCCGGCGGGGAGCAGGACTGCGTGCAGGGTGTGGGAGCCTGGGTCAGGGAGGAAAAATTTGATACGCTTCTGCCTCATCACTACCATTTCTGCTGAGACCCTTGGAGCACATGTGGGAGGGTGAGTGGGCCGTCGGTGTAGCAGGATGGTAAGGAGTAAAAAGTGAGGGAAATTAAAGTTCCTGAGAGAATTAGAGGAGGCCTTTGGGAGAGATGACCAAGGGCATCAGGTTGAAGGAGTGAAGGACCGGGTTTGGGGGTACACAACGAGAGGCCGATCGGAGAGCTCTGGGCCGGTCAGGTTGATGGGGCGTTGAGATGTCCTTATTTAGAATCCTGGGTGCCAAGGAGACATGAGTGTGAGATCTTGGGGCCCATCAGTCTCTCTAAGTCTCAGTTTCCTTTGTGAAAACGGGAACCACAGTCTTTTTTAAAAAAAATTAATTTTATTGATCTTTTACAGAGAGGAAGGGAGAGGGATAGAGAGCCTGAAACATTGATGAGAGAGAAACATCGATCAGCTGCCTCCTGCACACCTCCCACTGGGAATGTGCCCGCAACCAAGGTACATGCCCTTGCCAGAATCGAACCCGGGACCCCTCAGTCTGCAGGCCGACGCTCTATCCACTGAGCCAAACCGGTCAGGGCGGGAACCACAGTCTTATTGCAAATGGCACCAGATCCCACAGCCTGTCACACAGTAGGTACTCAATAAATGCCAGCTGCTGTTGCAATTGTAGGTTGGAGTGATGACATTTTGGGGAGGAAAGAGGTCGGAGGGCAGGTGAGGCCCCTTGCAGGCTGTTCTGCAGGGACACTGTCTAGTTAGCATTGGTTGAACACCTACTGTGTGCCAAACTCTGGGAGAGGTGGGAGAAACTGCCCTGGCTTGTATTAGTGAAGTTGGGTTCGGAGGCTATAGCAACCCCAGCTTCACAATTTCCTCTTCTGTGAAATGGGTTATTAATAGTCCCATCTGGTAACACCACAGGCTAATGTGGCCACCTGGGGCTTGCGAGGCGGGGCTCAGCGCCAGCAAGGCCCAGAGGCAGGCTTGTTGGGGGAGAGGGGCAGTTAGTGAGAGAGACTTGGCTGAGGCTGAAGAGCAGGCTCAGCTGGAGACAAACTCGGAACACTGGGCTGACCATAGCGGTGGGGACCATGCAGGGCCCAGTTCTGGGACGTGGCTCCAGTTAGATGCAGCCAGAGGTGCTGGGGGCCCACATGGGGCGGTCCAGCTCCTCCCAGTTCCCTGTCACCAGTCAAGCATCCTGCTCAGAGCCGCTTCCCCATGGATCCTCTGCATCCTGCGTGTCCCTGTGACCTGACTACGGGTCTCATTCCCCAGGGTCAGGCCTGAGGCTGCTGGTCCCCTTTCCCGGAGCTGAGCACACAGCAGGTGCTAAATAAATGCTCTGGATTGTGTGCTGGCGGTGCCTCGGGCTCCTTGCAGTCTGAGCTGCCAGTCTAGACAGTAAGCCTAGAAGCAGTGGGGGCTTTTATTGAGCCCCGGGCGTCCCTGTGAGGCTGTGGCACTGCTCCGTTTTCCAGAGGAGGAAACCAAAGCTCAGAGACCACCTCTCCATGCTTGCCCCCCAGGCCCTCTGACCCCACCCAGAGCCGGGACACACAGACAGCGGCTCTGGCTCCATGGGCCTCAGCTGGAGCCAGCCTCCCTGGCACCGCGGCCCGTGCCCCTCCCAGGCCAGCCGGCGAGTGGGCACTGGGCTCAGCTGGGGCTGCAGACCCCATTCTCTCCCCTGTCTGGGGTCCAGGTGTGACAGGTCCCCTTCTCACACCAGAGCCTCCCTCTCTGGCCGGGCTTCAGTCTGGAGCCTGGGAAGGGGGCGGGGGCGGGGGCCCAGGGGCGGGCGGGGAGGGGAGGCATGTCACCATATATCCCCGTCAGATTAAAAAACTAATTTGAAAAGATTAATGTATTCCATTCTTGTTACGCCGGCTCTGATACCTCTGGGCCCGCGGCCGTGCTGCCTCTGATTATTGAATTTTTATGGCCTGGTAATTAATTGCAGATTCCCTGTTTTGTTCTATTTCTTTTTCCCTGACATTTTAATTTCAACAAAAAGCAGTGGTCTCCATGCAGGTTCTCTCTGGAGATCCTAATGGTCTATAAAACAGAATGACTTATAGACGTGGCACCCACTTCAGTTGGCGAGCGATTGTTTGAAACCTTGCTGATCATGCAAAATTTAATTTTTCCACCTCCCTCCCCCATTTACTCCTCATTTCTTGTCTCTTCCATTGCAGCGCCAGCAACTCAGCTCACAGCGAGGACGGCACAGTGTCGCCTCCGAATCTGTTACAGGGCCGTTTCCTAAAGGCCAGGGGCCCGGAGACAAAGTGGGTTTTGATTTTTTACCCGAGAGGTGGCCCCAGAAGTGGGGGAGCTGGGCCTCTCCCCGGGGCCATGTGGACGCGGGCAGCTGCCCCAGGGAGGAGGCGACCATTTCCACCTTTCTCAGCTGTTCCTTTGCCCAAGTGCAGCTGCTCCATTAGGCATCATGGTGCCCACAGGCTCATGAAGGCAGAGGAAATGGGATGCTCCCCTTAGGTTCATAGCAGGAAGTCAGGGATATGACCTGGTCAATTCTTAGCCAAACCAGATCACTGGGAACAGCTGTCCACACAAAGGGGTCTGGAAGAGGCACCTGAATTTCTATCCTGATGCCCCCAACTTTTACTTCTCCTAGCCCTGCTAGCATCACAGAGGCTAGGCCTGGTCCCGGAAGGTCCCCCGGGACTGGCAGGGGCAGGGGCAGCAGAGAAAGGTCATAGATCAAATTGGCCTAAGGGATTGGAGCTCATGTTTTCAGGGATGAGGCAGGTAGGAGCGGGGAGGGCGATAGAGAGCAGTGGGGACTGTGGTGCTCCAGAGCTCATGCCCATCAGAAGGCATGACTGCAGCCCATGCTGCCACGTGGAAAGATGGGCGCAGGGTGGCCAGAATGTATGATTTCTCAGGGAAGGTTGGAAATCTGGCTTTTAATGAGAAATTTTTTAAGCACTGTGTCAGTCGAATTGAATACATCTTTTTTAAAAAATATATTTTTATTGAAGGGAGAGAGAGAGAAAAACATCAATGTTGAGAGAGAGTTATTGATTTGCTGCCTCCTGCACACCCCCCACTGGGGATCAAGCCCACAACCCGTGCCTATGCCCTGGCTGGGCATCAAACCGTGACCTCCTGGTTCATAGGTCGATGCTCAGCCACGCTGGCTGGGCTGAATACATCTTTGATCTGACTCCTGGAACAACTGTTCCCTCTGATTTAGAGCTTCGATCAGAGAAGTCGGGACACGGAAGTGATGTCCGTTAGGCCAGAAGGGCCTCAGTGGCCAGCCCCGCCCGTCCCGGCCCCAGGAATCCTCTTCCTACCTCTGGGCCCGTCAGCCCCTCCTCACACTCAGCGGGCTCCTCCTCAGCCGCTGAGGTGCCTGTGGGTCTCCCTCCAGCGCTTGCCTTCTTTCAGCCTCTTCCCTCCTCAGGGAAGCCGAGGCCTGGAGTCTGAACATCTGGGTGAAGTCTGCTGTGTCCGTCCCCCCGCACCCCCTCGAGGACGGCATCACTTTGCCTAAGTCTCCAGGGCCCTAGGGCGCCATTTGGAGCTGAGCTGATGCAGGAGGACCGCGAGTCAGGGGCTCCTGGGCTCCTGAGAGGAGTTGGGGGCCCACTGCCTGCTCCCCCTCCTGTGTGCTGAGATGCTGCAGAGCTGGCGCAGGCAGCGCCCAGCCTCTACTGCCTCCGTTTCCTCATCTGGACAGGCCGGGTGGGCAGGGACAGCACGGGCTTGGGGCTCGCCGGGGCTTGGATCATACATTGGTCCCACCACTCCCTCTGTGGCTGTGTGAGTTCAGCGCTCCTCACCTAGAAAATGGGGCTGACACTTCCGTGTTAGGGTTCTGTGCTGGGCAATGAGCTGCCACACACATGGTGGCTTAACACACCCACTTACTACCCCGTGGTTCTGTGGGTCCCCAGCCTGGCAAGGTGAGGTCTGGCGGGCCGGGCCCTCTTCCACGCTCCCTGGCTGTGGCAGATTCAGGTCCTCCCGGGGCTCCTCCGTGTCCAAGGCCAGCAAAGAACCTGGAACCTTCCAGATGCTTCAGATCGCTCTGCCTTCCCCTCTGCTTTTAAGAGCTAATGTGACTGCATTGGGCCCTCCCAGACAGTCCGGGGTCACCTCCCTATTTGCAGGCGAACTAGTTAGTAAGTTACCTTAGTTACACCTGCAAAGTCCCCCCTTGGCAGTGACATTGGTGGTGGACATCACGAGACGAGGGCAAAATTCTGCCTGCACAGCCTCCAACCTCTCCGGATGGTCGCATGGATTAAGATACCTCTCCTGGTTCCTGTGCCCCCCGCCCCCAGAACCACGGGGTTAGATATTTAAATACTAGGACTCCCTGCTGTAGCACCCACAGAATGGGAGGGGAGAGCCTTCCTCCTGGCACCCCTCTCAGCAGCTAGCACTGCCTCCATTTTCCAGATGTTTAAACCAAGGCTCCCAGGTGTCAGGTGATATGTAAGTGGCAGAGCGGGATGTGAACTTGTCTCTGGCTCAGCTTCCATAAAAGCTTGTCATTTCATCCCTGGGCCCCAGCCCAGAGCCCCTGGGTCCTCTGGAAATGCATTCAGCTCTTTGGGGAGGCACCCGCCATGTGCCAACAACTGACCTGGGAATCAGTTTATCTGGCTCAACCCAGGTGCTTCTGGGAGTCCCCAGTGCATATCGTGGGTGTGTTTTTCATGGTGTCACGTGTTTCTCTCCTTCTTTCTCATTGGGGTGGTTCTGACGGACACCTCGGCCCACCCTCAGAAGCCTTCCAACGGTAGACTTCATGGGGCCCTTTGCGGACTGGCTGAGAACGTGTCCCTGGAGCTTCTCTCCTCCCATGGAGACCCTGGCCTCACGGTGAGTCCTTCCTTCCCCCAGAGAACAGGCACACGGACTTCCCAGAAGGCCCAGGGCCCACGTCCACCCATCAGATGGGGGCACAAGACAACGCAAATGCAGGCCGTGGGTGAGCGCTGCGTGTGGGAACGGTGCTCAGCAACCAGCGTGGGGGTGGCGGCCGTGTCTGCCGGTGGTTGGCGCGGCCCCCGGCCAGCGGTGGGCTGTGTGGTGGCTGTGTTCTCACCAGAACGGTCCGGGATGGGCTTCCAGCTGCGCAGCTCCTGCTCGTGGCGCGCCAGGCCTGACTCGGGGGCCTGATTCTCGGGCCTGGCAGAGGCTGCTGCCTACGACAGAGTGGGTCTGTTTTTGCCACAAAGTAAAAGCTGCTGTTGGCAGGGAGCAGCTTCCCTGGTTTGCAATGAAGGGCCCCGCCTGGCACTGCTCCCCTGTGGGACCGATGCCCCCTCCTCCAGCCGGCACTGCTGCTGTCTGTCCCCGAAGCGTCCCTCCCCTGGCCTTGCCAACAGGAGCCTGACACTCACTGTTCAGGCAACAGCATGCCCAGCCCTGGGGGGTGAAGTGTGATCCCAACCATCCCAGTCCTCTTTGCAAGGGTCTGCTCTCACCCGCTCCTGCAGTTCATTTCTGGCCAGAGATGAAGGGGTGCCTCTCAGGACATTTTCCTCCCTGATAATAAGAAACCCCTGTTCTTGCTTAGCCTCTCTTACCTTGAATGGGGTTATGTAAGATGAAATGGTTGGGACCATAGCAGCCATCTTGTGGCCATGAGGCAACAAGGTTAAGGCTTAAAACACCAGCCTGGCTGGTGTGGCTCAGCTGGAATGTCATCCCTATACCGACAGGTTGTGGGCTCAATCCCCGGTTGGGGTGTGTACGAAAGGCGATCAATCAAAATTGATGTCCTCTCTCACATCGATGTTCCTCTCTCTCTCTCTCTCTCTCCCTTCTCCTCTTTAAAGTCCATAAGCATACCCTCAGGTGAGGATTAAAACAAACACACACAAAATCCCCAAATCATGCCCCCCAGAGTGAGGCTGGCAAGAGGAAAGGTGGCGTGTTGGTCCTTGGAGACATCACTGGCCATTGAACCACCACCAGCAACTGTCTACCTCCAGACTACTCGTCACCTGAGAAAATGGAGCCTTTGTGTTTAAGCATTTTTTCCATTGATTGTGTTTTTAGAGAGAGTGGGAGGGAGAGAGGAGGGGGTGGCGAGAGAGAAACATCGATGTGAGAGCGACATCAGTCGGTTGCCTCCTGCTCAGACCAGGGCCAGGGATTGAACCTGCAACCAAAGTACGTGGTCTTGACTGGGAATCGAACCCGAGACCCTTTGGTCCCCGAGCCGACACTCTACCCACTGAGCAGCCCGATTAGCTGCATAATGTTTTACTTGACGCTCAAAGTGTTCCTGGCTGATACAGGCCCAGAGCAGGCCTGGCCTTCGTGGTGGGGAGGCTTAGAGTTGGTACTGAGGTAACCCTGCTTCCTTTTCTTCAGGCACAGGGCCCGGCTCTTGCCTGAGCTTGAGATCATGCCCTCAAAGCGAGGCCTCGTTTTCCCTGGGAGCGAGCGTTCTCGCAGGAGACGCCCCATCCAAAGACTCCGGGCAGGCCAGCCCTCCCCACCCGGCGCATCCACATGCCTGCGCTGGGCACCCCCTCTGTCCTGCTGGGGCCCCGCGGCCTCTCCTCAAGCCCCATCCCTGGTGAGGAAGGGGCGCGCCCACACTCCACAGGGGGCTCTCAGAGGAAGGGACTCACCCAAGGCCCCACAGCAGGACGTGGGGGTCGGCTCCAGGTCTGTGTGGCCCTCAGCCCGGGGTCTCACCCCTCCCGGGGGCCTCCGTGTGCCTCAGAGCCAGGGGGCAGTGGACGGCCAGCTGGGTGGGAGCTCCCGGGCAGCTTGCTGGGGACGGGGCTGGGGAGCCCGTGTCCTCCTGGCATCGTAGTCGGGGCCGTGCCGTGAACATGCTGCATACCAGCCCCACGTTTGGCTTCTAGAATAAGCACCTCATTTTCTCGCTCGTGGCTCAGAGGTCAGCCGGGGTGCTGCTGCTTCAGGTGGTGGGTTCAGACATTCCAACCCGGGACGCTCTTGCCCAGCGGACAGTGCAGGTGTGAGGGGCCCACCACGCGAGCTTTTAAGGCCACAGCACCACCTGGCCAGGGTGTGTGCTCTCCCCTCCGTGGGCTGGCCCTGAGAGGGCGCAGGGCAAAGGGTGGGGACGTGGAACCCTGCTGCTGGTGGTGGAGTGCAGTCGGGGGCAGCAGGCCCATCTACACACAGATCCCAAGGGCCCCATGGTGTCCCCAACGCTCAGTGCAGAGACCCGCCCTGGGCACGGCCTCTGCTGGGGCAGGCAGGCCAGGGCGGCTGCCGGATGCAGGAGCTAAGATTTTCCCATCAGCTTAGCCTCAGAGGAAGAACCTGATGCTCGGGAGTTGCCCCAGGTTGCAAGGCTCCCCCGCCTCCACCCACCTCCCCGCCCCCCTCAAACCAGGCAGGAGAGGGAGCGGAGGGGTCAGGCTCAGCGTCCCTGGGTCCAGCCCCGAGCACCTGCCTCCCGGCACAGGAGAAACCCCAGCCCTTTCTTTCCCCAGCCGCCCTCGGCTCAGCACGCGCCCGTTTCCCCAAGACAACGGGGAACAGCCCGGGACTCGGGTCTGGGGCTCAGGCTGCGAGCAGGGGACTGCTCAGCGCTTGTTTACATCCGCAGCCCCAGGCTGGCCTGGGGACATACTTTGTTTTGCTTGATGAGTGTTTGGTTTGTTTGCATGGAGCCAAAGCTAAACAGTTGGAAAATTTCACAAAGAATTGAGATTTGATTTCCATTTCCGTTGAAAATGCGGAATATTTGACAAAACTGGACCCATTTTGCTGCATGGCGAGTCTGCCAGGACTGACTGCATGTTCCTGCCCCCATGCCCACCCCCACACGGGTCCTGGGCTCATGCCCCAGTCCCCACCACTCCCTGCTGCCTCCAACAACAGATTTCACTCATATTCCTTACTGGTCTTTGTGCTGCTGGCACGGGAGCTGTAACCTCTGATTTAATCCACTCCCAGCGAGGGAGAGCCCAGCATGGAGCAATACCAGCCCGGGGTACGGGTCAGGGGGTTTTATTTCCCTTTTCTCTTCCTCAGCCAGAACTTCATCTGGAGCCCAGAGAGTAGTCCTCCCGGCCCCCACCAGGAGCCCAGTCTCTGCCGCCCGTTCCCATTGGTTCAGTTTGGGGTCCTCTCCCTCGAGGCAAAGCTGTTCCCGTCCTGACAGGTTCACAATTGCCACCCTGAAGGGAAAATCCAAGTTGAAATGGATGGAAGCTCTGGGAGAGGTATGGAGACCCAGGTCCTCGAGCCACCAGTACATTGGGACGCCCCCTAAATGTGTGGACATGCGATACTAGCTGCTGCTGCTTACATCACACTTGCTGTATGCCAGCCGCTTCTTGTAACTTCACAGGAAGTCACTTCATTCTCCTATTTATCCCCAGGTTACAGGTGAGGAGTGGCAGCACAGAGAGATGAAGCAACCTGCCTGAAGTCGCACAGTTTATAAAATGGAAGCGTTGGGATTTGAACTCAGATCCTCTGATTTCTGGGCTTACAGTTCTTACCCACTAAGTATCCTACAGGAAGTGCCTATTGAGACAGCTGCTTTTCCTGTAATGTCGCATTTCATTCTCAGACTTGCTCCACCAAGCCAAGTAGGGTTTGGCGGTGACAGAAAACTCCAAAAGACCAGACTTAACCCAGAGAGAAGTTAATTCCTATTTTATGTAGATACAACCTGGAGGTGGTAAGGAGGCTCCAGGGCCAACAGGGACTCAGGCTTCTGCTCCGTTGTGCTGCCATCCTCGTCATGTGGCTTCTCCTCATGGAGCAAGATGGCTGCTTGAGCTCCAGCCATCGAACCTTTATCCCAGTTTTCAGGAAAAAGGAAAAGGGAAGATAGGACTCACCCCCTTCCTTTAAGGACCTGTGTCCTGAGTTTCACAGGGTACTTCTACCCGAATTCTTTTGACTAGCACTGGATCACATGGGCACGCTTCAGCCTAGAGGTAGTCTTGATTCCAGAGGGTCATGTGCTCAAGGAAAAACCAGTTCTGTCATTAGACTTCAAGGGGAGAATGGATCCGGGGAGCATTTGGCTTCATGGCTGCACTTTACAGATAAGGACACTGAGGCTCAGAGAGGTGAATGCCCTGCTGGAGGTCACAGCCAGGAGCTGGAGCCTGGGCCTCTGTCCCCGGGCTATTTGGAGCAGGTGGGCTCCCAAAACACACTCTACCAGTTTCCTGGGGGGCAGGGGGACTTAGGAGGTCTGTGCATATGTACACAAGCCTTCCCCGAGGTCCCAGGTCCTGCCAGCTACACCCTCCTGTGCCTCAAGCCCTGGCAGCCTCTCTGGGCCCAGATCCGTCATCCCGTCATCCTGGCCCCGGCCCTGCCCGGGGCCTGACTCCATCCATCCCACTAATGCCCGCATCGACTGTGCTCGGGCACATTCCTGAGGCGGCCTCAGAGCGCTGAATAATTCAGGCCTGTGTAATGGGATAATGAATTCACTGGCACCCAGTGTGGTCTCAGGACTTACATTTCAAGAAATACTGACTCCCCGGGCCGCTCAGCAGGCTGGGAACACACACAAACCAAAACACTTGCTTCTGCCCACCTGGTGGGGTCCAGGGCTGTTGAGTGGAGATGTGGAGACCCCACTTTGTTCTCCATGGTTCTTTCTTTTTTCCAAGATTTACTTAAATTGTCAATTCTATTGGGGTGACATTGGTTAAGAACCTTATGTAGGTTTCAGGCGTGCCATTCTGTAATACTTCACCTGTCTATGATGTTGTGTGTGCCCCGGCCCAAGTCCAGTCTCCTGCTCTCAGTGGGTCAGCTGGCCCCCAGCTGGGACGACTTTCTGATGCAGCTCGCACCCCTTTCCTCTCCTGCACCCTCACCTCCCGCTTCCTCAGAGCCTCCCCAGTCCACCATCTGACTAGGAATCCCCGACGCAGGCTCTGATTCTGGGAAACCCACCCGAGACCTGTATTTCCTGGTCCAAGCCCCCCTTTCTGAGGACCCCCCCGGAGCACTAAGGGGGCTCAGAGCCAGGGCTCCTCAGCCCCGGCTCTGCTGTGTGGACTGTGAGGCAATCACGTCGCTTCCCTGGGCCTCTGTCCCCCCCCCCCCCCCCCACATGCGGTTGGGTTGGGGGAAGGCCCTCAGGTTCCTTCCAGCTAGAAGGCCTGTGATGGGCCTTAGGTACCAGAAAGCCTTCTCCTGCCTGCCTAGCCCCACGGGTGTGCATGTGGATCCTACCAGCGGGGCACCACCTGTTCTGTGGAGGCTTTTTTAAATGTAAAGGCATCTGATACAGGCATCTGAGGTGGAAATGAGTTTCCTGTTGGGCAATCTTGCCGCAGGGCAGAATCTGCTCAGGTGGGGAGCCTTGAATCCCCTACAGTGGGACCCACCACCTGAAGGGGGTTTATTATGAATATATCCCTTCTTTCTTTAGTTGTTGTTAATCCTCACCTGAGGATATTTTTCCATGATTTTTCCCCCATTGATTTTTAGAGAAAGTGGAAGGGAGAGAGGAAGTGGGTGGAGAAAGGAAGGAGGGGGAAAGAGAGGGAGAGAGAAACATTGATGTGAGAGAGACAGAGCTTGGTTGCCTCCCACATGCACCCGACACGGGCAGCGGAACAAGCCTGCAGCCCAGGTAGGTGCCCTTGACTGGGAATCGAACCTGAGACCGTTTGGTGCTGGGACCGATGCTCTACCACTGAGCCACACCAACCAGGGCTCCCTTCTTCTTCTTTTGTTAACCCTCAACCGAGCAGATTTTTCCATTGATTTTTAGGGAGAGTGGAAGACAGAGGGAGAGACAGAGAGAAACGTTGATGTGGGAGAAACACATCGATTGCTTGCCTCCTGCAGGAGCCCTGACCAGGGTCTGGCTGGGGAGGAGCCTGCAACCGAGTTACATGCCCTTGACCAGAGTTGAACCTGGAACCCTTTGGTCCGCAGGCCGATGCTGTATCCACTGAGCCAAACCAGCTAGGGCCGTTCTTCTTTTGAACGTGGTACATGACATCTGGAGCTGCAGCAGCTACCTCTCCACCACGAGGAAACAGCAGGAGATGTAAATAACAAACTAAGCATGGTGAGTACACACATAGAAAGAAACTGGTTTTCAATAGCATTTCTGAATCATTGCACAAAACCTAAAACCTCCTACTCCTACTTAAGTGTCTGTATTGCTCAAGCAAGTCTTGGTTGACTTTTCTGTTATTTGCAGCCCAAAGCATTCCAAACAAATCAACAGTCTTTATCTAATTGAATCACTTTTTTTCTTTCTTTATTGATTAAGGTATTACATATGTGTCCTATTTCCTTTGACAGGAAAGCAGCCTCCACAGACTCAGCATAACTAGAAGTGCACATCTCCTTATGAACAGGGTGGGGTGGGGTGGGGTGGGGTGTGGGTGAGGAGAAGATTCTGTCTATCTGTCTATCTATCTAAATTAATTAAATTTATTGGGGTGACTGGTTAATAAAATTATGTAGGTTTCAGGGGTACAGTTCTGTAATACATTATCTGTGTGTTGTATTGTGTGTTCACCAAGCCAAGTCTCCTTCCATCACCATTTATCCCCCTTTTACCCTCTCCTACCTCCCCACCCCCTTTCCCTGTTGCCCATGCTGTTTCTAAAGACTCATGAGAAGGCAGAGAGTTGGCTAGCTGGGGGAGTGACTGCTGCAGACCCTGGGACTGAGCCCCCACCTCAGGGGGGTTATCCTCCATGTGGAACCTTCTCTGAGGGCCTCTTTTTTGCTCAGGTTAGTGGGGAAGGCAGGGTCAGAAAAGGCCTCAGACGAAGGGGGCAAAGACGGGTCTCTGTCAGGAACGCAAAGCACCTGAGCTTCTCCACCCTTTGGGGGTGATGGGCAGGAGGAGCCCCTAGGGGTGACCGTGGGCAGAGTCTGGGTCTCCAGGGCCTGGCCCAGAGTCTCAGCTGAGGGAGTGAGCCCAGGGCCCCAGCAGTCCTGGGGGGGTGAGGCCTGAAGGGGAGGGGGGTTCCAGCCTGGGCTGGGAGGGGCAGGAGGGGAGTGGCTCCGCTCCCTGGCATATGCCCTGTTCACGGGGCTAACTCCTTGTGCCTCGGGGTTCAGACAGGCAGACATGCTGTCCCCAGGGAGCCTCCACCATCCCCCAGGCCAGGTGTCCCCCGACCCAGCTAGTGGGTGGTTTTCGCACATGTCCATGAATTCTTAGGCATTCCTCTCATCAGGAGGTGGGGTCCGTGTCTCCTCACCTTGAACCTGGGTGGGCCTCTGGGAACAGAATGACGTGAAAGGAATAGCCTGTGATTGCTGAGGCTGATTAGAAAAGGCCAAGTCGTTCCTCCCAGATTCTCTCTTGGGACCTCGCTCTGGGAGCTCAGCCGCCCTGTAGGAAGGACATCTCCCCTGAGGCCGCCACGTGCAGAGACCACATGGAGCGAGATGCCCGAAGGGCCCGCTCCTCCAGGCGCATCTGTCTGAGTCCTCCCAGCCCTGATGGCAGGCGTGTGGTGAGGAAGCCTTTGAGATGAGCACAGCCCCAGCCACCCAATGCCTGCCATGCATGGCCGCCCCAGAGAGAGAACTGCCTGGACTCCTGGCACCCTCTAGGCTCAGGAGCAAAAGAAATGATCATGTATGAGTTCCTAGGGCTGCCTAGTAACAAATGACCACAAACTGGGCAAAACAACAAACCTAGCCTCTCGCAGCTCTGGAGGCTACAGTGTAAAATCAAGGTGTTGGCTTTTTCTGCGGGCTCCGGGGGCTCCGAGAGCATCTGTCCGGTGCCTCTCTCCTCCCTTCCTGTAGCAACGCTTGGTGATCCTCGGCTTGTAGGTGCATCATCCCAATCGCTGACTCCATTTTTGCATGTGTTCTCCCTGGGTTTCTGTGTTCAAATGTCCTTCTTCTTGTAAGGACACCAGTCATGTTTGATTAGGGGCCCACCCTACTCCAGTATGACCTCATCTTAACGAATTACATCTGCAATGGCCCTATTTCTCAATAGTACGGAAGTATTGAGGGTTCAACATCTCATTTGAGGGGACATAACTTAACCCAAAACATATCGTTACCATTTTAGCCACTGTGTTGGAGTGATTTGTTATGCAGCAATAGCTACTCAGAACACTAGAACCAAGGGATGGCTAGGGGAGCAGCTGAGACATGAGTGGAAATGTAAGGAGATAGAAACATTTACCAGAACATCCCTCCAGGAGGCTACTGTATGTGGTTAGAGTAATTGATTTTCTAAGTAGGTTGGGTTTGGGGTGGGGGCTAGGTCCTTCCCTGAAAAGATGTATGTTGCAATCATAACATGTGCTCAAATAACAGAGAGCTTCCCTAATGCTTCTGATGCAGGAAAAGAGCTTGGGTTTTTGCTTAGTAAGGTGTTTCCCCCCTTAAATAAATGTTGGATATTTACCTAACGAGAGAATCAACTTAATTATGGGAGTGGTTTTGGTCTCCACATAGCTCAGCATGGACGTGCTGACCAACACCTGCCCCTTCAGAGCATACTGACTCACTGTGGGGTTCCTGGCTTCTCCAGAGACCACAAGTAACCCCGAGGGCAGGGCAGGCTCTGTTTTGTTCTCACCCAAGTCCCCAGCACAGTTATTGGCATATGGTAGGTGGTCATAGTTATTTTCTGAAAACATGGACGTTGGAAAAGGGATTTGAAATAGATATGACTAAAGGTTTATAAATAAATCAGCTAAAAAATCATATAATGATGCTAGAAAAATATTTTTTAAGTTCTCTGCAGTTAATGGAAGAGCCTATGGGAACACAAGTGAATTACAGGAGGCCAGGAGCAAATGGGAAAATCTAGTCCAGGGAGGTAAATGATTACTGAAACTACTGCACGTCCTGAGGACCCCCACGTGATTGGGCAGCCTACAGCTCCACAACATGAGCTTCTGTGGCACAAGAAAGAAGCAAGGCATTGTAAAAATGACCAGGCAGATTTGAAAAAAGAACCAAACAGAGATTCTAGAAATGTAAATATATCACATATGAAATGAAAAATTCAATGGAACAGTTAAATAGAGCAGGCACAGCTGGAGCGGAAATTTGTAAACTGGAAGATAGATTTGAAAGAATTACACAAAATCCAGCACAGAAAGAAAAATGAAAAATATGAAAAAGAGGTATAGAGAATGGAATGAAAAGGTCTAATATATTTCTAATCAGATTTTTGGAAAATGATTATGGGAATAATGGGAGAGAGACAATATTCAAAGAGATAAGTAGCTGAGAATGTCCCATGATTATTAAAAAACATGAATCTTCAAATTCGAGAATTCCATCATGGGGATGTAAAGTACAGTATAGGAAATATAGTAAATAATACTGTACTAACTATATGGTGCCAGGTGGGTACTAGAATTCTGGGGGTGGGGGGAGGGCTGTCACCTTGTAAGTTATATAAATGTCTAACCACTAACACCTAAAACTAATATAATAAAATATTGAATGCCAACTGTAATTAAAAAATTTAAAAAAGAATTCCAATGAATCTCAAACAAGATAAATAAAAAGAAGTCTATACATAGATTCATTATATTCAAACTGAAGAATACCAATGACAAGGAGATGATTTTAAAAGTAACAGAAAGAAAAATTATTGTTTTTTGCAACTTCTATAATTATAAGAAATTAGACTAATGACTACAAGAGTAGCAATGAAAAACAGAATAATAATAATTTTAAAGGGATTTTGAAAAGTCACACCAACTAAGGACTATACCCCAGTTCCTAATAAGACTGAAATAATTTCTTAAAAGATAAATATCCATTAACTTATGAATGAATAAAAATGTGGTATATCCATACAATAGCGTATTACTTGCCATAAAAAGGGATAAAATTTTGACATGCTACAACATGAATAAACATTGAAAACATTATGCTAAGCAAAAGAAGCCAGACAAAAGGCCACAAATTATATGATTTCATTTATATGAAACTAGAGGCCCAGTGCATGAAATTCATACACTTGCGGGGGTGGGGGATCCCTCAGCCTGGCTGTGCCCTCTCACAGTCCGGGAGCTTTCAGGGGCTGTCCATCGATTGGACATCCTTTGCGCTGCCGCATAGGTGGGAGAGGCTCCGGCTACTACCGCTGCACTTGCCAGCCATAAGCCTGGCTTCTGGCTGAGTGGTGCTCCCCCTGTGGGAGTGCACTGACCACCAGGGGGCAGCTCATGCATTGAACAGGATTGGGCCGAAACCAACTCTCTGACAACCCTCAAGGGGTCCCAGATTGCGAGAGTGGTCAGTGCATGTCATAGTGAGCGGTTGAGCAGCCTTAGCATATAATTAGCATATTATGCTTTAATTGGTTAAAGGACTACTGGATGACCAGACACTTAGCATATTAGGCTTTTATTATATAGGATGTCCAGAATAGGCAAATCCATAGAGACAGAAGGTAGATTCATGGCTGCCAGAGGCTGGGGTGAGGGAGGGGGAATGTGGAGTGACAGCTAATGGGCATGCAGTTTCTTTTTGGGGTGATGAGATGTTCTGGAATTAGGTAGCGGTGGTGTTGGTAAAATGTTATGAGTATGCTAAAACCACTGCATTGTACACTTTCAAAGGATGAATTTTATGATATGTGAATTATATTTCAATAAAAATGCAAAAAAAGGAATAAGGGTGAAAATAAAAGATTTTTATTTATGCCAAAATCGAGAGAATTTTATAAACAACTGACCCCTCATTAAAGAAATTTCTAAAGAATGAAGTTGAGAAGAAAAATGACCTCAGAAAGAAAGTCTGAGACCCAAGAAGGGTAAATTTATTTATTTATTAACATATCTTTATTGATTTCAGAGAGGAAGAAGTGCGAGAGATAGAAACATCAATGATGAGAGATAATCATTGATCAGTGTGCAGGTTGATGCTCAACCACTGAGCCATGCTGGCAGGGCATGATGGGTAAATTTAAACAACACACTGTCTAAAACAATGTCTACCCCATGGGGTTAAATAAGAGATGGAGCTAAAAGGCTGGTCCTTAACTAAATGGAATTAAAGCTTTCAAAGTACTTTGCATTGTTCAGGAGAAGGGTAAGATATTGATTAACTTTAGACTATGTTAAGTTAGGTAATCATTTCAAAATGCTGAATCACCAATAAAAGAATAAGAAATAGAATGCCTATCTTCCACACTAATAGATGGAGTAAAAAACTGCAATGAGTAAAACACCTCAATCAATTCAAAACACTGCAACAAAGAGGACAAAAAGAAACCCTTAGGAAGCAGAACAAACTTAAACGCAAAATAAGATCATAGAAATAAAACCAAATATATACTTAAGCTCTATAAATATAAAGAAACTGGACTCTCCAGTTAACAGATTGGATTAAAACAAGAATGGCCAAATGCCATTAACATAAA